TTAACATTAAACACTTATTAAGAAACTAATGTAGGCCGAGCTCGGTGGCTCAGCCTGTAATCCTGCGCTTTGGGAGGCCGAGGTGAGTGGATTGCCTGAGCCCGCAAGTTCGAGACCCGCTGGGCAACTTGGCGAGACCTCATCTCTACAATCAAATCAAAAAATTAGCTGGGCGTGGTAGCGCGTGCCTTTAGTTCCAGCTACTTGAAAGGCTGAGGCGGAAGGATTGCCGGAGCCCAGCAGGTCGAGGCTGCGGTGGCCGGGAGTGGCCACTGCACTCCAGTCTGGGTGACAGAGTGAGACTCCAATTCAAAAAAAAAAAAAAGAAACTAATGTGAACCAGGGTCTGTTTGAGCTATTAAACACATAGATGGGAGCGATAATATTAGGCAAAGTTTAGCTCGTTGATTCTGTGCCAGGCTCTGTTCCACTAAAGTCTTCCCACAACCACCTCTGAAAGGGGGCTGTTTTTTTTTTCTTTTTATTTCTTTTTTTATTTTTTTGAGACAAGGCTTCACCGTATTACCCAGGCTGATCTCAAACTCCTGGCCTCAAGTGATCCCCTGCCTCAGCCTTCTGAGTAGCTGGGACTATAGGCTTGAGACACTGCATGTGCCCCAGGGGCTGATTTATAGATAAGAAACCAGAGACCAAGAAAGGCCAAGATCACACAATTAGTAAGGGACAGCTAGTAAGGGACAGAGTCCAGACTTCAATCAGGCAGCCCTATTCCAGTCTGTGTTCTCTTTGCCACTCTGTGTCTGCTCAAAGGGGACATCTGTCCTGTGAGAGCAAAGACCCCTCACCTGTCCAGGTCCCAGGAGGCTGACTGGTGGGCATTTGTTTAACTTCAGACCGTGCTAAGGCGTGTGAAGAAAATGAACAGAAGGGATGGAGATTAGGAGTGAGGGGCTCTGGTGGAACTCTAGGAGAGGGGAAGTGTCAGGGTAGCCTCTTTTGGGGACACATGAGCAGGGGTTTGATGCTGGAGCCTGCCTTGAAGATCAGTGGGAAGACAGTTCTTGGCAGAAGGCGTGGCATGGGCAAAGGCCCTGTGGTTTGACAACCACAGTGTACAGGGGGACTGGGAGACTGATGGCACCCTTGGCCTGGTGTGGGCAGGATAGCTCCGTCCCACCTTCCCCTCATGGTGCCACGCAGGTGATATGGGCCTGAGCCACTCACATTTCGGTCAGCAGCTTCCTCTTCCTAAGCTCGCTCCTCTCCTTCTCACCCAGTTTCTCGGCCTGTCCTCCCCGGACCAGCTGGAGCCGCCGCTGCACCTCGTCCTCCACACTGTCCACCTGCCACAATGAGGGGTGTGAGAGTCAGGGGCCCATCCGTCTGCTCACCTGCCACCCACCCCCAAGGACTCACCATTCGGAACACGCGGGGCCCGTCGGCCGTACTCTTGTCCACCCGGATCCACTTGTTGGACATGGCCTTGCTGAAGCCCACTTTGCCACTGGGCAGTCGCTGGAGGAAAGGCTACAGTGAGTGGGGAATTAGGGTCACCTTCACCCCATCCCCTGCCCCTCCCCACCCCTGACCCCTACCATGAGTTCGCTCTGGGCCAGGCCCTCTGGGGGGATGTTGTGAAATACACGGGCCTCATGGCTGCCTTCCCGGGCAATCTCCTCACCCTCGGCAGTAAGCTCCCAGCGCTTGGTGGAGCGAAGTTCAGCCTCGACGACCTGCAGGGAATAGGGGGTCCAGGCAGAAGTGGGGTTCATAGCTGGGCTCGGTGGATCAGCCTGTAATCCCATGCCTTGGGAGGTTGAGGTGAGTGGATTCCCTGAGCCTGCGGGTCTCGAACTCAAAAAAAAAGAAGTTTGAGGCTCCAACTAAAAAAAAAAAAAGAAGTTCAGAGCCAGGTACCCCTCACTGCAGCCCCTGGGCCAAGGTTCAAAGAGCAGTTTCTGAAGCTGGCTTTATTTCCCAGCTGCCACACTTTCCAGTCACATGAACTCAAGGGAAGGTTCTCCCCTTGCTGGGCCTCCACTTTCCTTATTTAACACAGTGTAATAATAATGACAAGTCATACCCCCCAGGGTGAAGTGAAGGACTGAGGATGTTACTGGCAGAGGTAAAATTTTTTTTTTTTCTTGAGACAGGATCTCTCTGTTGCCCAGACTGGAGAGCAGTGGCATGATTAAAGATCACTGAAGCCTCAACCTCTTGGGTTCCAGTCATCCACCCACCTCAGCCTCCCAAGTAGCTGGGACTACAGGCACACACCACCACACCGGGCTAATTTTTTTTTTTTTGAGTTGGAGTCTCACTCTGTCGCCCAGACTGGAGTGCAGTAGCC